ATTTCGATTTGGATTATTATCAATAAAAAGAATACATTTAATTTGAATTGACAGCTATTTTTATTTTCTTACAAGATAAAAAAATGTTGCATATCTTTACAGACTTCGATTTGAGAAATTAGCTGCGACTATGATTACATTAATTTCTAGGATTGTTTCTGGGAATCGATTTAAAACAATATCGCCAATGAATGATATAATCGAGAATGTTGTCGTTATATTTATATGCACGAGAAGTTTTCATTTTTATTTCAAAATATAAAATGCTTCGTCAAGCCTTGATCTTTTTCTGTGTCTCGCTATTAATCTCTGAAGAAATTTGTGTAAAAAGGAGATTCCAATTCCATACTTCATCCGGTTCCTTCACTAAATTCTCATTGTACAGTTTGTCTGCAAGGAGAGAAAGGCTAACGCCGTCCAACGATGTATATGCAGCATTTTTTACCAGATCAGTGTCCAATTCCTCGTACGCAGTCACTCTATTTGCGTTGACTCTGAAAATTACGCAACAATTTAATTCATCTCGCAATATACAAAAAAAAACTTTTTCTTTATTGAAATAATAATAGTAAGTTATTCATATGATTATGTAATATTATAATTAAAAGAACAAAATAACTTTCGTAAAACAAAGATACTTATTATTTTTTATTTTTAGTAATTTTTCTCTCTATTACAAAGAGAATAGATTAATTATATTTTTTCATCTAGATTGTAACTATAAATTACTTTTGTGTGCATTTTACGCATAAATTTTAATGTAATTTTTATCATAAAAATTTTCAATAATAATGAATAATAATAAACATAAAGAATACTTACGTAGGAGCACTTGCAATGTCAGATGAGATGTTATCTTCCTGAATTTCATCCAAATCTGGTATAACTGGAATATCTACAAATGCAAAGATCAATAATATGAAGAAATAGTGAGTGATAAAGAGGTATTTAAATTTTTTTATGTCTATTTTTGTAAATATTGAAAAATTACATTTATATTAATAAAAAAAAATCGATTTAAATGAGATAAAATTACTAATTAAACAATTGGACAATATACAAGCTCTTAATACGGTTTGTCCCAAATCAGCTCACCATCTTCTTGCTCCTCCTTTTCAATCACTCGAAAACGTTCCCTAAGAAATAGATTCGTTAATAGCTAGATACTTGATTTTTCACTTTTATGTATTGTACTCACTGTTCAATGATGTTTGACGTCGCCTTTGATCTGTGCAATGAAAAAAGAATTGTTTAACTGGTGCACTTGAATATTAACAAATTTATTTTAATTCGTTTATGCATTTGTTATATTTTGCATTATATATTTCCTTCTGGAATATAATATATAATATAAACTCCACTACAGAGAATTATTGCTTGCATTGAATAAAATTAAAGGGCTCCACACACACACACACACACACACACACACACACACACACACACATACACGCGCGCGCGCACTTATTGCAGATTATAGATTAATATAAGTCTAACACGAGCCTAAGATATGAATGTATATGCAATACAATTTTTTAAATGTCTTTTATTTCTTTTTTTACTTATGTGCACTTAACTATTTATGCAATAAACTTTTTAATCTTTTCAAAACACTAAAAGTCGATGAAAGTAGATGGAAAAATAGATAGTAGAAATCTGTTGCTGTCACGAACAGTGTTGTTGCACATAAATGACAAGAGTTAAAATTTTTTATTGCTCTTGTTGGTTGTGTATTAATTTACAATTTACTTACTTGCCACTTTTCAATTCATCGCCCCAGCCGGTTTTCCTCGACCGAGGTGGAACTATTGGTCTTTGCATAGATATAGACTTTCCGGATGATAAGGAAATAGGACTCTCCAGAGGATCATCATCAGATTTATTATCTTCTAGCAAATTATTCTGACCTGCACGTCTACCTAGACGAGGTAGCAGCTGCAAATTGATCAATGCACTTTGTATTTAAACTTAACTGTGAGTTATTTAGAATTTCTTAAAACTATCATATCTTTAAATAATTGATTCTCTCATTAATACTCTATAGGGACTCTATAACTTGGGAAAGTTTTTTAAAGACCTTACCTTTTTTGAAGTAATCTCAAGATCGTTAGCCCAATCCATCTTTATTATTTACGCAGCGTTAAAACATGCGTCGAGAAGTGTCAGGTGAATGCCCCTGTGCTGTAACTTAAGGCACTTTAAGTCAAACTTTACGGTACATTTGACAAGTGTATGGCCGCTGCTTACATTTGCAAGCGGTAACCATGGCGACCGACTTTATTCCTACACGTACATACACTAGTAGCCACACAATTGATTTTACATGTGTATATGTATTACATGTAGAAATTGAAGATTGCTCGATTTGCTGTGGTATCCACAATTTTTTAGATGAGAAAATGAAAATTCCGAAGAATTGCTCATTTTTCAAATTGTCAATTCGCTTATTCAACAATGTCAGATTATCGAATCGCTTGCTTGAAAGAAAATTTCTTTTAGGTTTGGATTATTTTTTCTCTCAGTCTTCGCCATTTTATTTTATGGAAGAGCAACGGTATATTTTACACCGTGGGGAAGACACTGCTAGGAAATCACCATCTTATCCCCTATGCTTCTTTCCAATACCATTTTAAGGCGTGTATACAACCGAACGAATGACTAGTCATGGGAACAGAATGTAAAGCATTGTTCGTTCGCATTCATTCGTGTATGATCTAATTCGTTTATCAAATGGGATTATGATAAGAAAATTCCAAATAATTTAACAATAAATTTTGCATTCGTTGTTCATTATTCATTAGATTAATGAGTTATTTATTCAAAATTTTCAAATAGAGTCAACATAAGAATGCTAAATTCTCTCTTAAAAATCAATGTCGCAAACCAACATTTGTAAAGGAAGGAAAGATAATTTTCAGACTCTATATACTTATTTTTAATCAACAAAATTATTTTCAATAAAAATAATGCTGTTGGTAAACATCATTTTTTTTCAGTGTGACAGTTATTATTATAACAAAAAAAATGTATATAAAAATTATACAAAAATTTATTGTTGTATAAAAAATTTTGGAAATATATTGAAAATATTGAAATAATAGAATCATAAACAAATCATCCATAAATAAGACTATCACGTTCGTTAACGTTCATACCACGGGCTAAAATACCAGTTCTCGTATGGAAAAATTATTTTATAATGGCTGGAG